ATTTCGAACATCTGCTAATTCATTTTTAAGCAGATTACTCTCTTGTCTCTAAGACCCCAGTTGTCTCAAAAAACAATCATCAGTTTATTTAGTGCAACGTTTTTGCCCTTGTTCTGGTCTTCGATGGTACGAACTCGTTTCATTGTCGCCTCATTATGCGACTGATGCTGGAATGATGCCTTCCTAAGAAATCAGCAACATATCGCATTGAATATCCTTCATTTAGGAGAGTAGATGCTCGCACTGCCTTCTCCAGTGACATATTTCTTTGATGGTTCATTTTTTTTTACTTGATATTCTCCCAAATGAATTTCCAAACATGCATGTAATAAAAACAATTACAATTCTACAGCTTGCTTCTAACAGAAACTTTGCTTTAATCAGCACTTTTTAAGAAAATATTAACACAGTTTTATACTAAAACGAGGTTTAATACGAATTACTGTCAAAACAAGGTATTACCTGACACTAGCTGGCTTAAAAACAACTGTCACTGTCAAACAAGGTCCATGGCCTACTTGTCGTACAGTAAGTTATCAATAAATAAAGATTATCGAACAAAATATAAGTGGTGCGTTAATTTTGTCCACTTTATTCTGAACAGAACAAGGTCGAATTCGCAACATAATTTTATATACTCAAAGCCCTAAAAACTCTCTTTAAAATACTAAAATAAAACGACTTAAGTTAATATTGCACAAAATGGAGCAATGGCTGCTGAAAGTGTTGAATACCAACTTGCGTATGCTTGCGTTACTCTGAACCTGCTCTAAACCTGCTCGACGATTGCAAAGAGAAAACTGTATGTAAAGTAACGCCATCTATAAATGTTGCACACTACTATAATACAAGTTACCATTTTCCTATTAAAGCATTGAGAAAATTCGTAAAATATTCTTCGTATTTGAGAATGTCGATATTAAAGTCTCAAATAATTTTATTCAAAATGCCGCATTCGAGTAATCGTAGCTTTGAAAATAATTTTGTAAATGATCTGTAAATTTATTGTAGAAAGTTAAAAGTGCATAGTTGTATTTGTGATTGAATTTTATGTAGATAACTACTCCATCATTTTGATTGAAATCGCCTTTATTGTATAAAAAATCATAGCCTGGCTCTGTATATAATTCAAATTTTCCTATAAAAATAAAATTATTTAAAAAAAAAGTTTCATTAAAAATCTCTAATGAACGACTATCAATAAATTCAATTAATAATTAAAATCACACATTTTTATTAACGAGAACAGTGTTCTCTAATCTACAAACTTAGGCTTCACTATGGAAAATGACCATCTGTGACAAGGATAAAGAATGAACCGACATAGACCTCACTCCACGGAAATTCAATTACGGGAGAGTATCAACTTGTTTCGCGTTTCCATTTTAATGCTCCAGCAAGGAAGTTCTCCTTAACAGGACACAGTTTGGCAAGGCACATAAGCTCCGGGGTTATTCAACTGAATATTGCACCTCCGGAATACAACTAAGTTTATAGTGAAGTTAACATCTGAACAACTACTATATTAATTCCTAAGGTGCTTTTGGGTCCGAATTGTATTGTTTAACCATGTTATTTGCATTGTGGAATTTTATATCAGTTTGGTTACTTAATTTGCAGATTAGTAATTAAACATTTGATGAAAATATGAAAATCTAATTTTTTACACCCACATGTTTTCAACCAAACTTACATTTTTGTTAAAACCACAAGAATAAATAATAACCAGAAGGATATCTCTCATTTAATTCTTTTGTAGTTGATGCCGACGATCTATGACCTCGTCTTTTAGTTATTACGTGTATTCCATAGGCCCATCGAAAAAAAGGTCAGGAAAATAAAAAAAAATTGGGTAGCTATTGATTTATTTTTTAAATTCATACATTACAAATATATCCTACTACTACTTTTTCACATGTTGTCAACTAATTTGACAACCTACAAAATAAGTTAGGTATTTTTTAAACGAAATTAAATAACCAGGGTTAATGTTTTTACATGTATTACGTTCGCGCCAATTTTTTCGCCTTAAAAAAAATTTATTTATCCCTAATAACTTTATCTTGAACGGCACTCAAATCCATTTTGCACCCTCTCTGGCAAGATTGGAAGCGTCGTTTGGTTACAAGGGAAAGATATTGAAGTGTTTTTTTTTGTGAAATTATAAATGGTGCAGTGATGTTATTAAATATGCAATACATCGCCGAAATATTTTTTATTAATAGTAAAAAATGGTTTTTTACATTTGATAATAATTAAGAAATATTTATTTTTATTAAAACTAATTTTGTTTATTGCAGTTTAGGTAAACAATACATCTATCTGTATTTGTAACGTGTGAAAGGTGGGGTACCCCATGGCACTTAGGCCTCATTAAGCTCATTATCCTAAGGTGATAAAAACCTCCTAGGTAGTGAGCCAGCCTACAGATTTAATGTAGTTGCAAACATGCGATGCTCTCTAGTAAAAAGTGGCTAAAATAGTATGACCCAAGGTTATTTTCTATCTCTCTGTGTAACCCTGAATGACCCCTGAGTGTGAAATAAGTTATTAGCCTGATATATTAATATATTAGATATTACTGTACATGTCAGACTGGTTCAAGAACTGTAGGCATGTGTGCTCATATTTCAAGTGTTTTATGGTACCTGGAATACGCATGATTTGAAAATTATATAAAGTACCCTTTAAGTGTTTTTTTAAGGATAATTTTAGATACTGTTGAAAGATGATTCAGATTGTATAAATCTGTCTCTATGTAAATGTGTTTATCTGAATGAAATATAGATTTTTCAAAATAGCACATAAAAGGAGTGTCAAAAATAACAAGAGTTGATGGAAAAAGATTCATTGTTTATTGATGGGACAGAACTGGTATTTTCCTCAAATAGTAACAATCCCAACTATCATGGGGAAAAGTATGAAGCAAATTTTTTTACATTGGTTTAAGAATCAGTTATTTAACTTAGCCTGTAACGATTAATATAGACAATGCTTCCAATCACAGAACGTTACTTTTTAAAACTCACAATAATTCCTGGACAAAACCTGAAATTCAGGATTAGTTGACGACACACAACATTCAATTGGATCAGAATATGTACAAACAAGATTTATTAAATACAGTTTTCAAAAATAAACCGGCAAAAATGTATAAAGTAGATCATTGCACATTTAACCCAATTGAAATGATATAGAGTTTTAATAAAATAAATACTAATTCCCAAAAAAGGCCGACAAAGGCAGAGATACGAGTCATGTCTGTGAAAATTACGCATCTCTTTGGATTAAATCGAAACTGTCAATTAAAAAGAAGAAGAATTGTATGTCCTGACATACGTAGTTTCTCTATCTTCTTTAGAAACAATTTTGTGTATAACTCAATATTTTTATACATTGTCCTTTTATAAACATATTTTATTTATCAAAAGAATACCACAACCGTAATAAGCAATTTTCTTATTTTCGGAATTTCATTTTCATAAATAGCAAATTTTCGTCATGAATTTTCATGCATTTCACTCGTAATTTCTGAAGTGCTATCCGCTGCAATGCAAATAAAAGACTGTCTATTTCCTTCTATTGTGTATTGTTTGGCATTTCAGCACAACGTTGAGCAACAAACGTTTTCAGCATTTTGCTTATAAACTACATACTAATGTGGAAAACGGGTTTAGATTAAATTATGGCAGAGTGATATTTTATTACGAATAAAGTTTGTCTACACTGAGAAAAAAATATGTTCGGTAGTTTCTATTTCTAATGGCTTTCTGATAATATACCCACACGAATTGTGTTTGTCAAGTAATGAGAATAAAAAATATCTTATCCTCTACATGCCTATAGTTCTTGAACCAGTCTGACATGTACAGTAATATCTAATAATGGGATTTTCTTGAATTTCTTTGTAAAAAATACAAATGCACGCTACATAGAAAGTTTCCTAACAAAAATTAACTAAATACTAATAAAAGTTCCTAATAAAAAACTTTTAAAATTATTCCTAATAACACAGCTCAAATGAAAGAAGAAGAAAATATAGAATGTAAAATAGAATGTAGTGTGAAATTGCAAAGATAACAATGCTGATTGATAAACAAAGAAATGGTCAGAAGTCATATTCTTACTATGGTAATACATGAAATATGCCTCATACTATAGTAACTGATATTCCTAATTTTTTGAACACGATGTATGTGTACGTGAGCATAAAAATACTATTTTAAATACACTATCACATTTAAAGGGAAAATCAGCCGTGCATTCTGGAATTAAATATTTCGTTTACCATTTACTTTGCCACTTGTACAGAAATTACATTCGATAATTTTTGCTGTGTTAAATTTTCTTAATAAACCAAATTTGACAAAAACGTTCGATTTTAATTTCAAGTTTGAAATATAATTTTGTTGAAGTGGCTAAAGTACCAATCAAAAACCATTTAAATTTCACGTCCAACTTCAATTGCAATTTATGTAACAATAAAAGTACAAGTGTGAAATTTTTATTATTCTTTTTGGGTCTTTTTTTTTAAATAAATTTTTTTTTATAGGTAAGGGTGTTTCACTGATTGCTACTTATCAATGAAGGTGAGTACACATTTCTATGTCAAATAATCTCTTTTTTTTTGGAATTGTATGACTACAATCATTCAGATCACTCACGGATTTTATGAGAGATAATTTTATAATATATTGTAAAAAATGTCTTCTACAATATCTTCCACAGTATCTTTTACAATATCTTCTACAATACTTCTACAGTATCTTCTACAATATCTTCTACTATATCTCCTACAATATCTTCTATATAGCTTCTACAATATCTTCTACAATATCTTTTACAATATCTTCTACAATATCTTCTACAATATCTTCTACAATATCTTCTACAATATCTTCTACAATATCTTCTACAATATCTTCTACAATATCTTCTACAATATCTTCTACAATATCTTCTAAAATATCTTCTAAAATTTCTTCTAAACTCTCTTCCTTCTAAAATATCTTCTGTTCTAAAATCTCTGCTAAAATCTCTGCTAAAATCTCTTCAAAAATCTCTTCTAAAATTTCTTCCAAAGTCTCTTCTAAAATCTCTTCTAAAATCTCTTCTAAAATCTCTTCTAAAATCTCTTCTAAAATCTCTTCTAAAATCTCTTCTAAAATCTCTTCTAAAATCTCTTCTAAAATCTCTTCTAAAATCTCTTCTAAAATCTCTTCTAAAATCTCTTCTAAAATCTCTTCTAAAATCTCTTCTAAAATCTCTTCTAAAATCTCTTCTAAAATCTCTTCTAAAATCTCTTCTAAAATCTCTTCTAAAATCTCTTCTAAAATCTCTTCTAAAATCTCTTCTAAAATCTCTTCTAAAATCTCTTCTAAAATCTCTTCTAAAATCTCTTCTAAAATCTCTTCTAAAATCTCTTCTAAAATCTCTTCTAAAATCTCTTCTAAAATCTCTTCTAAAATCTCTTCTAAAATCTCTTCTAAAATCTCTTCTAAAATCTCTTCTAAAATCTCTTTTAAAATCTCTTCTAAAATATCTTCTAAAATCTCTTCTAAAATCTCTTCTAAAATCTCTTCTAAAATCTCTTCTAAAATCTCTTCTAAAATCTCTTCTAAAATCTCTTCTAAAATCTCTTCTAAAATCTCTTCTAAAATCTCTTCTAAAATCTCTTCTAAAATCTCTTCTAAAATCTCTTCTAAAATCTTTTCTAAAATCTCTTCTAAAATCTCTTCTAAAATCTCTGCTGATATCTCTTCTAAAATCTCTTCTAAAATCTCTTCTAAAATCTCTTCTAAAATCTCTTCTAAAATCTCTTCTAAAATCTCTTTTAAAATCTCTTCTAAAATCTCTCCTAAAATCTCTTCTAAAATCTCTTCTAAAATCTTTTCTAAAATCTCTTCTTAATTCTCTTCTAAAATCTTTTCTAAAATCTTTTCTAATATCTCTTCTAAAATATCTCTTCTAAAATCTCTTTTTTTCTAAAATCTTTCTCTTCTAAAATCTCCTCTCTTGTTTTCGAAATTTTTCTTGCAAAGCTTCTCTTACATCTATTTTGATGACAAATTGCTTCAAAGTTTCCAAGTTTTCTTTTTTGGCAACACTTTTGTATATAGGGTGAATTATAACTATTGATACATTGAGTATGCGCAGATTGTTTCAACCAAAATATGAAGCTTTGACTAAACATGCCAAAATAAAATAATGCTATGGAAAAAGATACAGGTTGTTAAAGTTTAAATATTTTATTTGTTTTTTGATAATTATTTCACAAAACATTCATAAATAGTTATCGAAATTGGCCCAGAGGCTAGGAATGTTATTGAATGTAATATTTTATATTTTGGCACAGTCTGTCACATGAGCGATTCCTGAACGGTAAAATAATGTAGGATAGTGAATAGAATTTATTAGAATAATTTGAATTAGTATAAATTGAGGACATATAAGGCTAGAATAGAATATAATAGATTACACAATGATATATTTGGATAGAATAAAACTCGTAACAATGTATTCAAATCAAAAATACTAAAAAATTTATTCAAAAAATGGTACGACCCAATTTCATTATCCAAAATCGCATATGTGGCACCGTCTGTAACAAAACCTAAAATATTTAATAAAATAATATATCTGATAACAGTTAATGAAAAAAAGTGAAATTATTACCAAAACACGAAAAAAATAATTAAAATTTAACATCCTGCATCTCTTTCTTCAACATTTTATTGAGGCATGTTTACTCCGATCCTCGAATTTTAGTTCAAATAACCTGCGCTTTCTCTGTCACAATATGTATAATTCACCCTATATATAGGTATAGGTAAATAAGGTATAGCCGATCTAGATTTAATTCCAGAATATTTGGTATAATTTATGACCTCACCTTTTCGTTACATTCTCTATTTTAATTACAAAACATACAATACTATTCTGTCTTTTTAAATTACATTAGTGCTAATTCAAAATGGTCGACTCGACAAATAACGTCACCCGTTTTACATTAAATCAACTCTAATTTATTACCACCGCAACTGTATTCTCGAATTATTTGCAAAGAGTGCTCCAAACTGAACGTTTGAACTTCTAACAAGATTTTTAAAGACAAGATTGGCCTATTTTCAAGTGTACAATCAGCTAAAATCGGATGTATGCTTTAGAAATTCTTTTACTCGCCATAAATGTATCTACAGCAATAGCGTCGCTACAAAGGGGATAACAGGGGTAATTGTCACATCACAAAAATTCTGACCTATATATTTAGGAATCAATGGTCTGATATCTTTCCTCATTCTGAAAAGAAATCAAGCAAAATAGGACAAAATGGCAGATAATTTAAGCCGTTATTTACAGCCAGAAAAAATCAGATGCTATTCAAGAACGTGTAGTGATAAGTACTTTTCCAATGATTAATTTAACGTTATATGTGTTGAACGTTTATTTTCTTCTTTGAAACGCCACAAATGATGATTATAGGTCGAAAAAGACTACTAGGCTTAGCCTTTTTACACTTTCTTAGAGTTATAGATTATAATGCTGTATTGAATTATACCTATTTATTTCCTAGAAAACGAGAAAAGGAGCTACACTGATTCTGCCACATTCCCCATGTTAATACCCATAAGGTTCATTCGGACAATTGTTGTCCATTTAGAGATCACGTTCGATGGTATTGGCTTATAGATACGCGGGAATCGTTACATGTTTTTGCAGAATGAATACTAGGTTTACTAAATAAATTTAAAAGAAGCAATTTAGATTCCAGTTAGGCAGACTCCTTGAGTGACATTTTTGTAGACAGGATAATATATTTACCAATATCAATTATTCTAAAATTCTTTTCTCCCAGTTCTCTTAAAAAATTTAATAGAATTTTGTTTAATTTTAAATATACCGGAGGTGGTACAATTAGTGTACACTCACAATCTATTTGATTAACAAAAAGTGAATTATTGTTAATCAATCTTTCTATTTTCAAGTTTAAAACATCTGCAAAATATTTAGCGGTTCATTTCCGCACCATTTTATGTATTAGTAAGCTTTATTTATATTCTTAATGGTTATTAATATGAGATACCCATGTTATCTTCTTGAAACATCAGCTAGATGAAGAACTGGAAAGGTTTATAGAATAGCAGAAAAAAAGAAAAGAAAGAAATGGTAGATGACAACATCACCTGAAGATAAAAATATATTAAATAGGGCATTGAATTGGTATCTTTTTGTAATGTCTCTTTTAAAATTTTGTTTTAGATTGCTATCTCCTTTAAATGGCTCTATTATTTTACTTCATTGGCTCTAGATTGTGACTAGGGTACCGATGGGAATTGGCATCTTTTTGTAATGGCTCTTTTAATATTTTGCTCTAGATAGGTACCCATGATGTCGTTTTTAAATGGCTCTTTTATTACACCTCTTCGGCTCTAGATTAGTAATCGATGAGATCTCTTGTATTTTTCTCATTGGATCTAGATTGGTACGGCTGGGATCTTTTTGAATTGCTCTTTTAGAACTGAATACCTAACCATTTTATTACTAATAATTACAGAAAAATAAAAAGCTTAATACAATTGAGAAGATTTAACATTAAGATTCTAATCAGCGGTTTAATAATCGTGAAGAGATAATCCTAAAACTTACCAAATGTTCCTTCCAAAGGGTCATCTTTGATAAAATAATTTAATTTTTGTTTCTGTATACATGCTCTTTATATTAATGCATGTTTTATGCTTTGTTGAATGTTTATCCAATATAAAAAACCTAAAGATTATAGATCGTGTTTATAATTGATTATATTCAGTTTCAGAATCTGTTTTTATTTACTTTTCAAATCAATACATTTTTTAGATTTTGAATTAACCTCCTCAGAAAATAACTAGCAATGCCCTCATCTACGGTAATAAGTTACTTTTGGTTACCTTTCTAGGGAGGTAAAATATTGTTTTAGTAAGCAGTGCCCCGTAAGTAATTCCACAATGGTGGATATCTGAAGCCTTGCTAGTTATAGTGCGTCAGTAGCCATGCGTGGGTTTGGTACCCTTGACATGAGCTTACTGATTATGTGCCCTCTTGTCTGTTGCCAGTAAATTTGGTGTTTTGTGGTTATTTACCCGTTCACTGCCTGTCGAGAAGAAGTTTTGTTTATCCCAAATACAGGTTCGGGTCCTATGAATGGTAGATCTGATTCCTCTTTGGCGAGTTCTGACCCCTCTTTGTCGAGTTCATCAGCCTTTTCATGTCCTTGGATAACCTATCTTGTTATAGGTTGCCAGATCATTAAGTATTCCAAGGCAGTTTCAGACAAGCTTCGACTTGATTCTGTTTGAATTAAGAGCCTTTACGGCTGCATTGCTATCTAAGAGAATTAGGATGGTTTGTTTTTTGTACCTCCGTCTTAAATTTTCTCGTACACACAATTCGAGTGTATATATTTTAGCCTGAAATACAGTGGTATGTTTTTCCAGTAAGACGATGATGTCGCATTTGGGTTTAACTCCATGTACGCCGGAGCCTGTTCCTTTGTTAGTTTTAGATCCATCTGTATACTATACAAGACCGCTAAGCAAGTATTTATATATCTCCTTATTTACCTTGTACCAGTTACAGTTGACCTGGAGGAGAATGTTTCCATTCCAGTTTTAGTGTATTCCCCTGTTTGGGTTTTTAAAGTCCCCACAGAGTTTATTGGATCTTTTGCTAGAATGCAGTGAAGTCTGCATCCTTCAGTTGTATTTTCAATTTCCTGAGAGAACGTTCTCCATGGATCCCTCTTAGATTTGTTTTGATATACTCTGTGGTTGTTTCGGTGTATTCCCCCAATCATTCGTCTTTTTAGCCTTATTAAAAAGTTTATATGTTTTTTTTCTTCTAAGTTTGGCGAGTTCGGTGTTCTACCAGCTCACTTCCCTAGAAGTTTTCCTGTTCTTTAACGAGCAGTTATTGTGATATGATGTTATAATTGCGACCCGTAGTTGTTCTGCAACTTCATCTATATCATTTTTAGTATTAAGAGTTATTTTAACGGTTTTTAACACTGCCCCCCAGCTCCACTCCGTATCCAAACCAATCGGTTTTATGTGGGTCTCGGTTTACATCTCCTGGTTTATTAACGTTGTCGATTTCCATGAGAATATGCCGATGATCTGAGAGCGAAGGCTCCTAGACACGTACCACTTGCCAATGTGATTTGAAACGAAGAAAGAACCAACCTCGCTCCGTCTACTGGTTACAAAAGTAGATTCGTTTCCACGATTCAATATTTCCAGATTAGTGGTTAGAATGAATTTAAGTAAAGACTCTTTTGTTGTTGTCCTTACTGCCCCATGTTATATGGTGTAAATTTGCGTCAGCAGCAATGAGTACCTGCCCGATAGGTATCTACTAGATACCTTAGCTTATCTGTCGGTGCAGGACTGAGCGAGTCATCGGGAAGGTATTCAGAGGTAGCCTCTTATTGCCTGCTATGTTTATTTCCATCCTGACTGCTACTAGGTCTTTAAAACAGAAATCTTGTAAGTTGAGAATATCTAGACTATTACGTATGTATATACAAGCCCTAGTATTTCCACATTGGGTATTGTATACTAATTTACCTTTGGTTTGTCTGAGCCCCATCACATGCTCTTTGTAGATCCAGGGTTCTTGTATTAGGGCTACGTCTATGTCCTCCCTGATAATGGTACGTGCAAGGGTTGCGGAGGCGGCCTTGCAGTGTCAGATTAGCTTGCACTATTCTAAGCATCTGAAGCTTCTTCCTTCCTCTCCCTTTGCACTCTGAAGATTGCCTGAGTTAGGCCCAGATAGGGTTTTAATTGCAGGTTTTCTTAAGCCATCAGAGAATGGTCGTCAATCAGCAGTACAATGGTTTGACAATTG